GTGTGTAGTAGATATGAAGATAGAGAGATGGAGTGGAGATAGCAGGGAAGGGCTTGGCTTGGAGCTATTTTTCAGCTACAATGCTTTGCTAGCCTGCACATCAGTGATTTTACTTAGTTTTGCCGTGCCCTGGATGGTCAAAGCAGCCTGACTGAGTGAGGGTGAACTGAATCTTATAAATCGTATATCAGGTTATGATAAATTTTATACCACTTTATCTGTAGTGTATGACTGTATCACAATAGTTATTTGTCCTGGAAAATGAACTAAAATGGTTTAGTGAATTAAAGGTAAAGTGTGATATTTCTGCACCCTTAGCTGCATTATATGGAATTGCAATCTGTTTGTTTGAGGGACCCGACCGGAGTCTGGATATATAATTAATGGCTGAACCAATGTGTTAGTTTGGGACAGAAGTACCTGTTTGTCCAACCAGTTTTTTAAATGTGTTGGGGCAAATATTATTTTTGCAATTGTGTTTAATAGCATTAGCGGCTCAGAAATTGCACATTTCACCTGTAAATACTTGCAACAACAACAACAACAACAACAACAAAAAGAGTAAGTTCTTAATGTTTACATTACGTAACATTTCAAAAGTAACACTAGAAAACCGATAGTTCCAATGTTCTGAATAATCCAATTACAGTCAATAATGCCTGTGATTCCACCACTTGAGCTGTGTGAGCTGGGCAGTAAATAAACATCGTCAAACCCAAACCCTACACACTTTAGAATAATCAGGTGCACACAGCATAAATGGAATAAAACAACTAACCTCTGGAAAAAGTGAACTTATGTATTATCGTTACCTCTGAGTCAGAATGTGTCACATTGTCACAGACAATAAAGCATAATTTTTTCTTTGACGTAAAGAATGTTATTGTCAAAAAAAAAAAAGCACAATCCAACATTTCATATAACTGAATTCTACTGGAAAGTCGTGAAACACATAGCTAACTTAAATAACTAAACTGCTTCAAATGCTTCCTTTATAAAACTTCCTCCTCATCAGTAAAAGCAAAGCAGTCATACATACTAATAGGTATAGATAGGGCTGGGCGATAATTCGATAACGATAATTATCACGATATAATTTTCCTTGGTAAAAACAATATGAAGAGTTCGATAAATGTTCGATATAATGTTTATGCACCAAAAGCGGAACGAAACAGCGCACTTATTGCAGGATGGTTATTATGTCCTTGTAAATTCACCCAGTATGTTGTCATGATTTGCTGTCTTCTTAGCTCCAATGGCATTTCCCCCATTTCTACCTGTAACGCTGGCACAGATGTTGTTTTAAAAGCCCCACTACATATCCTTAATGCTTGTGCTTGTATTACATCCAATCTTTTCAACAAGGTTTTAGATGCTGACCCATATACCACACATCCATAATCCATAACTGATCGTATTAAACCTATATATATAGTTTTCAAACTAGACCTGTCAGCTCCCCACTCTGATCCCACCAAACATCTCATCACATTTAAAACCTTTTTACACTTGTTTATGACATTATCAATATGTACCTTCCATGTGAGCCTAGCATCGAACCACACTCCTAAAAATTTGAATGATTCTATCCTTTCCAGCTCCTTGCCATATAAATACAGTTTGACCTCTGCTCCAATTTTTTTCCTTGTAAAGAAGAGTGTTCTTGTTTTTTCAACAGAAAATTTAAATTTCATATAACTGAATTCTACTGGAAAGTCGTGAAACACATAGCTAACTTAAATAACTAAACTGCTTCAAATGCTTCCTTTATAAAATTTCCTCCTCATCAGTAAAAGCAAAGCAGTCATACATACTAATAGGTATAGATAGGGCTGGGCGATAATTCGACAACGATAATTATCGCGATATAATTTTCCTTGGTAAAAACAATATGAAGAGTTCGATAAATGTTCGATATAATGTTTATGCACCAAAAGCGGAACGAAACAGTGCGAGCTCACTAGAGCAGATGTGTTCACAGATGCGTTAAGCAGCGCTGTGAGATCCAGTGTGAAGCGTTTGAATTCAGCGATGAACCATGGTATTGAGGTGCTATATGTGTGGTTTTAACTGTGTTTATGTTTATCATGATTTAAATGTATGCTACTATGGGAAACCAATGCTTAATTTAAAAAATAAATAATTAAAAACTTGGTCAGAATAAATTTAACCATATAAAACTGAGGTTGCTACAATTTTTCACAGATGTTACTGATTTTGATAATAAACAAAAATGTACCTCTGCGCCCTAACTCAAGCTACTATCATATGTGCATTTCTAAGAGACAAAAAGTGATATTATTATTATTATTATTATTAATAGTATTATCAGGCAACCCAAACCTGTTTCTTGATTTGAAACAATATCACTCATTAGAACATGCAGAAACTAAGAAATATTTTTTTTCTATTTAGATATTTATTTAGTTAAGGAAAATTAATGGTCTGGTTTCTACAACTTTCACTTTGGAGCAAAAATCTGGCTTTAAACTTGAAAGAAATAAAGATTTGACATTTATCATGATAATTATCGATATAGACTGATATGAAAAAAATTATCGTGATAATTTTTTTGGCCATATCGCCCAGCCCTAGGTATAGATGCAAAATCTTTGCCAGATGAGACATTTCTACCATCTCTTAATTTATACCATAACCTGCCCAGCCCCAAGTGTGTGTGTTGAGTGTTTTATGAGCGTTCTTCCAACACACTGGCACTTGCAAGGTTAAGGGATGTGTTTTACTAATTAAAGCCCACCCCAAAATCCAACCTGAATTCCTGCCTTCCAATCCTCCTCCCTCTAGTTGAAGGGCAGCCCATGGTGAAGAGGGGGGAAAACTCAGAGTGTTATCTCCGTCTAATTAGGGATGGGTATCGTTAAGGTTTTAACGGTATTACTACTCTTATCGATACTGCTTATCGATTCGGTACTTTAACGGTATTCTTATCGGTACTTTTCTGGTCTTTCATAATTTAGCCCCGGGACCAATTAAATACCGGGTTTCGGTACCCATCCCTACGTCTAATAAGGCATTTTAATTGTATGGGTTTAATTTAAGCACAGATTTACAGCTTCACAAGCTCTCATCACACCGATTTTAAAATAACTGGGAAGGTCTCTCCCTTGATCCCGTCTGTGCGCTATGTCTCTCACTCAAGGCTGTTCCAGAGAGAGAGGAACACATCACAAAAAAGGTGTTAGATCTTTGCCCATGACCAAGCTAATTATCAACACTGTACTTGATGAGCCTATGCAGTCCCCTCGGTAACTGTCACACAGTCTAACACATTTGGAGGTTATAGGGAGAGAGTTTTAGGAAGATCCATGAACTGTGAAAGACACGCACAAACACAACACACAGCAACACATTCAAACAAATCTCTGCTCACGGAGTCAGGCCATGCCACTGTGAATTGAGCATTGAGGGTTTTTTTCACACCTCAGGAGAAGTCTTTCCGAACAAAAAAACTCCTCTTAATGAGTTTTTTTTTTACGGACCAGGAAGGAAATCAGTGAAGCCAGTCATCACGCTCAATCCTCACTGGCAATAAACGGCAAACAAGGCGACTGTGTTTACACTCATCAGAGCTTAAACTTGGGAGAGCTTGAGCCAAAGATGTCACACGCACCTGAGCACATTGCCACGCGCACGGAGTCATCGGTGAGCATATTACCATTCGCTCTGTCACGCTCCACTCTCCACATCTGTCACTCAGTTTGGCTGAGATTTACATTTTTTATTTTGGTCAATCTGTTAAGCCTGATGTGGGTTTGGGATGGGATGGAGGGGGTTCCCTCACGAGTTCACATCTGCCAAGAGATGTCACACGAGTCAACATCTGTCCCTTGTTTATACACCTATCAGTCAACTCTCACAGATACAAATATCCAGTTATGTAACGTATGTCACCGAGTAATAATCTGATCGGTTAGGTCGACTTGCTGAAACCAGTCCACACAGAGGAAACTCAGCCCAAATTCACACAAACGGATTACGTGAGTACATGCAGAAGCCTGGAAGTACACACACACACACACACACAGAAACAATACACACCAATGCAGCACACTCTCCATAGCTGGAGTCTATTGTCACTTCCATGCCATATGCTGTCCATCACGGTGTGGGAGCTGCCGTGGGTAACTATTCTCCCCAGTCAGTGAGTCTGCAAGGCCTGCACTCACCCTGACTGTCATCTAGCATCTGCTGGCTTTATCAAACACCAGACTGGTACTGACGGAGTCAGGACCCATGTGCCCTTGCTTTCTGTCTCAAGCCTCTGCCCAGTAAACTTCACTACCACTCTCACTGGAGATTACACTCAATTTGAAATTTCTTATGTTTCCCCTTGATCCACACACAAATTGTAGCACCAATCGCTTTACTTTTGTTTCCCCTTGGATTCCATCTGAAATTAGCATGTTGAATTGGCATCTAAATGGGTCAGACTGAATAGGCATCTGAGCCAAAGAAAATGACTTTGGACTTGTTCAATAGCGGCAGGTCACACAGGCCCCTCTCACTGAGTAGATCCGATTTCATGAGAAATCAGAGAAAACATGAGCTCTAGCAAATATGCCAATTTTGCACTCTACCCACACTACAAAAATACAATGAATTCATTTCATGACTGGACCGTTGCAATTGTCTGATCACAAAGTAAATTCAAGTGTATTTTCAGACAGTGAACTGGTGGCCAGAGAATATATAAAAGGGTACATGATGCAATACAAGAGCCATTTTTGACATCTTTCAAACAGACAGATTCTTGTTGGCAAGATGGTCTTTTCATGTCATATATTGTGAATTAACCCACAATGAACAAAATGAGGAGAATAATATTTAGCATATAGCAAAATATTCATATATCAACACCCACTACTTTAGCACAAGTACCAGTCTGAACAAAATTGAAATGACCCATATCAGCAATTGCAAGCAACACCAATTTTTCCATCACAGCATTACACATACAAAATCAGAAATAAAATTGGTACCGTTTTTGTGCTGTATTTTGGTTGATTGGTCTTGTAGCTGTAATCCGAGTACTGGTCTGAGCCGGTGGAGTTGTCATCACCGCCTGTTCCCACAAAGGTGTTGGCAGCTGGGAGCTCCTGGACAGCCTGATGCTTTTGGGAGGCAGATGGGGACTGGGCCTGGAGCTGGATGGAGGGCAATGGGGAATTGGAACGGTAGTGCCTGCCTAGGTCAGGGCTTCCAGGCGGATATGTCAGAGGCAAATGGATCCTGGGGCTGTCGTTGACCCCATCAAGGTTAAATTTCAGACTCTTTTGAAGGCTGACTTCTTCATCCTCTCCAAGAGGTTTAGGTGACTTTGGTGGTTTACCTTTTTTACCCTTTCTCCCCTTGCCACTTTTTGGCCCTTGCTTGGGGGCATACAAATCTTTGGTCTCCTTCTTGCCAGCCTGATAACCACTCTTAGCTTCTCTTTGAAGGCGATGCCTGATGAAGACCACTACAACAATCACAGTGACCACTCCCGCCACTCCAGCTAAACTGCCATAGACAATGTTGCTTTTTTGGGCAGCCAAACCATAATCTGGGTCTCCTGCAATGTCCATGTCCAGTGGGGTGTACAAGCTATGCCCCACAAGTGCCTCCACGTAACTTACGTTGGTAATGGTTTCATTTACGTAAATGTGTACCAAGGCAATGGTGTGACGGGAAGGTTTGCCCCTATCGCTCACTTTTATCACCAGTCGATGCAGACCACTGTGTTTCCGAGTTAGTTCCTTGGTTAATGTGATCTCGCCATTAGATGGAGAGATGTAAAAAAGGTCATGTGGATTTCCCCCAGCAATGCTGTATACTAGCTCAGCATTGGAACCGGAATCAATGTCCTCCGCTTCGACCACTTCCACAACACTGTCTGGAGCAGCCATGGGAGATAGACGTATGAAGGATGAGTTTGATGGTTTGGTGACAACAGGTGCATTATCATTCTCATCGAGGACATTGATGGTCACGCCAACATAGGATGATCTTGGTGGATCCCCTCCATCTACAGCTTTCAAGCGGAATGTGTAACTGCTCTCCTTCTCTCTGTCAAATGAGATACTGGACAGAATAGTGCCAGTACCATTCTGGATCACAAATTTGCCTACATCAGGTTCCACAGAAAGTTGCACTTGAGCATTCTCCCCCTCGTCCATGTCCTGTACTGTTACCATGCCAACAGGGCTAAGGGGTGGCATGTTCTCCAAGACTGAGAAGCTGTATCCACTCAGCATGAACTTGGGATCGTTGTCATTCCGATCAAGTACCTTGATTACAACTGTGGCAGTACCCCTGTGACTGGGAACCCCTTTATCTGCTGCAGTAACACGGAACTCGTAGCGCTCCTTGTGCTCACGATCAAGAGGGCTCCGAGCACGTACTTCACCTGAGTTAGGGTCAATCTCAAAAAGTCCCCTTGTTGAAGAGTCCGCAATAATGCTGTAGACCAGCTCTGCATTAGTGCCACTGTCTGCATCTGAGGCGACTACATCTACCACCTTTTCTCCTGGCTGGTTCTCCTCAGCAAACTCTACTTCAAACAGAGTCGATGAGAAAATGGGGGAATTGTCATTTGTGTCAGTCACTTGGACTTTTAGCGAGTTAGTGCTGGACAGAGCCGGATTGCCTGAATCCACTGCCACTATCTCCCCCCGGTAGTCCCTAACCCTTTCATAGTCCAGAGGTGTTGTGGTCTGCAGAAAATACTTCCTCTTGTTGTCAACTGATGAATCACTGGCTGGCCGAAGCTGGAAAGGAACATCACCAGCAACCACACATGTCACCACGGCATTCTCTCCCTCATCCTTGTCTGAAACCTGTACCAATGCCACTGCAGTGCCTACAGGCATATCCTCTGAAATGTTTGCTACTCCATCACTATGGGTCACAAGACCAATGCCTCGAATCTCCACTGCTGGTGCATTGTCATTCTGGTCGGTTACATCAATAGAAACATATGTTTTAGAACTTTTGGGTGAGGGGCCTTTGTCTCGGGCAACGACGTAAAACTTCAAATTGTTGATCTCCTCACGATCCAATGGGCCTTTGACATATATGATGCCTGATGAGCGGTCTATCCGGAGAAGTTTTGGCACAGGATCAATGGCCTGATGCAACATGTATTCAATCTCACCGTTAGGACCCAAGTCTGAATCATTAGCCTTCACCTGCAATAGAAAATATAAAACTTGACTTGTACTGAAATCAATTAAAATGTAAAGTACTAAAATAACAGCAAAATGGATTTTACACATACTCAAGACAATGTACAAAAAATACTGCAGGACAAGACTGCAAAACAACATTCATTAGACACTGGACATTAAATATTGGGTATTTAAACAGAGTGAATCTATTTATAGCACAAAACTGGGAACATAGTCAAAGCATTGCATAACAGGATTTCTGGGGCACAGGCTATCTATAGAGAGTGGGGTTCCTTAGAAATTTCATTCTACTCAGATAATTTCAGTAATCTAAAATTTTAGATTCAACTTTAATAGTTTATAGTGATTTACTTATTTAACCAAATGAACATGTATTTTATTTAACCAAATTAATGTGTATTTTTTTTACTTATTTATTCTTTAACTAGATTAACACGTATGTGATAATCAAACTGGATTATTCTAATAATTAAGGGAAATGAATTTGGCAAGTCAGGCCCTGCTCCACTGATGTAAGGCATCAAAGTAAAGAACAGACATCTGGGAGGTTGGAAAAGCAGCGCTCATTAAAATTTCACACTCCAACATGATGCAATAGGCAATTTATCTTGCCTTGTTCGGATCTAAAGGTTGACTTAGCATGTTTGCCATTTTACCTGTAACACAGAGTGTCCAATTGGGCTGTTCTCTGCGACCTCTGCTTCGTAGGAGGATTTTTCAAATTGGGGTGCATTGTCGTTGGCATCAGCAATGACGACCCTCAGCAAGGCACTGCTATAGCGAGGTGGATTGCCTCCATCCACAGCTTTGATGGTGAGATCGTAGGAGTCTTTCCGTTCTCGATCAAGGCTTCCCAATACAATGAGTTGAGGTAATTTTTCACCTCGGTCCTCTGCAACTTGCAGACCAAAGAGTGCTACAGCCTCTGGTCCTGCTGTTAGGGTGTAGTCAGCTACTCCATTTCTCTCCGTATCTTTGTCAGTGGCCAGTGGAATTGAGAAGAGCGCCCCCACGTGGGTGTTCTCTGGAACTGAGAGGGTAAGGACAGGTGAGGGAAACTGTGGTGTGTTATCATTGATATCCTGCACTTCGATCCTTCCCTCTATCAGCCGTGGACTCTGATTCTGAATGAGGTCTGTGACGGACACCTCAAACTCCAGAAAGCAGGGCTTGCCTTTATTACGACAATCCTTCAATGTCTCTCTGTCTATGGGGATCTCAGTGGTAAAGATATCTCCAGTTTTGCCATCCACCCGCAGATAGGGAGTGCCCACCTCCAGTTTGTACAGGTGTCCAGTGTCTGGTAGGCCCTGGTCAGCCGCCAGACTGCCAATCAGTGTGCTCGGAGGTTGTTCCTCATGCACACGGTATAGAATGCTACCCACCGCACCACTCAGCAAGTCCAGTAACAGTCCCCACAGCAGAAACAACACCACAGGGAGATCCATGGGCCCTTGGAGAGGTAACACCTCAGTCTGCAAAACAGTGTGAAAAACATGTTAAATCGTAAACAAGTGTGACATGTGGTGCTCTTTTGAACAAACATAGAAAAAAACTTTTTCTTTAAAAACTTTACCAGTGAGGGACTAGCCAAGGGTGAAACAGAATGCACACAGCACACACTGTTTTGTGTTCACATTGTGAGCACTAAATCCAAGGCTAAGAGTTGTAAAAGCTCTCCGGAAAATGCCTCTTCCCCCGACACCACTAAAAGCCTCCTCTCTCATTATCTTACATTATTTATCATCCTCATTTTTGAGCAGACAATTACTTGTATGTAAAGAAAGACAAAGAAGACCTACTGTACAAATGTCGTTCAAAAAGGTGTTTGAAACCATCAGCCAATAATTTTGTTGCATGACTGATGCAAAAATGCTTCATTTCTTAAATCTGGGCATTAAATCATCCCTATTAATACCACACAGGAAAATTTTAATTATCACCCTTTTGAGTGCCTGTCCAAGCTAAGCTGCTTTTGAAAATTAATGATTTAGAACACGCAATAAGACACTTCTTAATGGGCTTTTTAATACGAAGGTATGGGTTACTGTTAGGCTCAAAACAACAGCTCAGCAAGCTTTGTACTATTTACAACATAAATTAAACCATCTTATATGCAGTTTATAATGCACTTTCCTCAACATATGCTTAATCCAGTGCATATTCACAGCCAGTGATGAGGCTATTATTTTGGATGACTTCCCTTTAATGAAGGTTACACTCATTTGATTGGCCCATAACGTGAAATAGGCAGTTTCTCAATGCAAAGTGCTGATGAGACAAAAGGTCCGAAGAAGACTGCTAACACAGCAAAGGAACCATTCTGCATCACAGAATGTAGGCAGAAAGATTCCCCTCAGTGAAACACTGGTATATTAAGACGCTGCACTCCCAGGTCACAGAGGACCTGAAGGCCAGCCCTTATCTCAAAGTACAGATTTACTCAAGACAGATGAGAAATATCTGTCCTATCAAGGCTCAGAAGTTTCAGGCTAATTTACACACTGTAATGCTCTCATGTTTGATTTTCAACCTGCTAGGCCTCCTCATTAATCACTATCCTCTATTTTAGCATCTGCTTTGATCTGTATTCCCCTGGATCCAGGTTTCTCTCCTTTTTAAGCACCAAATAGTTTTAGAGTTTAATTATTTCCTGAGTGAGAAGACGTTGTGCCTTTAAATGACATCAGACAGTTTATTGAGCTGGGGCACTTAATGCTGCGGTCTTTTAAGTCCCTGTATGTTTATATGCAAAACATCCATGTCACATCTAGAATGGAGCACGAGACAAACCAGAATCGATAAAGGCTTTGCAAGCGGTCATGATCCAAAGGAAAGTAAATAAGTGTTATACAAAATAGCTAAACACAAGAATGCATAGAAATCCAATCAGAAATCCAATTCCTTCGTATCTGTTAAGATTTGGAGTGCAGCGTATTGATGCACTAATTGCCCAGGTATTGATGTGTCCTCTTTTTGCATTTGCAGGGCAGCCTCCTGTCGATTTAGCTGTGCTGATAGTGTATAGGGTAAAAACATGATTAGGGACTGTGGCATAAAGCACAGCCTCTGAAGGCCCAGGCAATAACTTGCGCTCATGGCAGTGGGAAGGTGGACCCTAGTAATGCAGTGAGACTGGAACACTGGATCTCCTGCTACAGATGTGAAAATACTCATAACGGTGATAATATGTTGGCCCATGCATTATGTGCTAGTGGAGAAAATGCAATTTTGTGGAGTTTTGGTGCATTGTTTTTTTTTTTTATAGACTTTAAAGGGGTCATATGATGTTGCTAAAAAGAACATTATTTTATGTATTTGGTGTAATTAAATGTGTTTATGCGGTTTAAGGTTCAAAAAACACATTATTTTCCACATACAGTACATTATTGTTTCTCCTCTATGCCCCGCCTTTCTGAAACGCGTCGATTTTTACAAAGCTCATCGGTCTGAAAAGCGAGGTGTGCT